ATACAGGTTCGCTATCAATCTTATGTCTCGACTATCAATATTCTTCCTTTGTAATATTTCGATTAGCTTGTAAATTCAACTCTGTCGAAGCCTTCTCGAAGTCTATAAAACCAATGTATACATTTTGATTTATATCTAAACATCTTTGCGTAAGAACATTTAAACCTAAGAGCGCTTTCCTTGTGTCCATTCCCTTTCTAAATCCCAGCTGGGAATCGCTTATATCCAAATGTAATTTTGATTATATCCTGTTGTGAATAATACGTAATAGAACCTTCAGAGTATGACTCATTAGTGAAATCGTTCTGTAATTAGCGCAGTATCTAGCATTCGGTTTTTTGGGCAGTGTTATGAAGTCTACAATGATGTCAATTGAGTCGTCATCAATTAGTTTTAGGAGTTCGATAGGAATTGTGGACAAACCCCTTCATGCGAGCAGACAGCAAAATTAAAATTTATAAGACCTGCACCAGACCAATAATTACATATGGCATAGAAATCCGAGAGGAAACAAACAAGACCTACAGCATGTTAAGATTCGCTGAAATGAAGAACCTAAGAACCATAATGGGGAAGACTACAAGAGACAGAATTAGAAATACAAATATCAGACAACAATGTGGAATACAGGACGTAGTGAGATGGGGTAGGCAAAGAAAAAGACAATGGGGAAACCCATGGGTAAGAGACTGCCGGGAAGACCTCCAAAAAGATGGAAAGACAGTTGGCAGTCCATCTCCCAAGAACTCCTACAGAGGCAACCTTAAAATTAACAGATCGAAAGATAGGAATTTCATCTGGATTGCTGGCTATACCGGTCTTAGTATATTTTGTCATAGATTCTATGACAAAATATACTAAGACCGGTAAAGCCAGCAAGCCAGATGAAATTCCTATCTTCTTCTTCTTCTTTTACTTATTTGTGATCTTTCGATCTGTTAATTTTAAGGTTGCCTCTGTAGGAGTTCTTGGGAGATGGACTGCGAACTGTCTTTCCATCTTTTCGGAGGTCTTCCCGGTTGTCTCTTCTTTCAAAATTTCTGGTCCTGTGTTTTCTGTAAGATCAAGATTCGAAAATATGCAGGTATAACAAATTTCAGCTCAATCAAATGTTGGGAAGTGATTCAAATTGAATTTGCAACTCGCAGGGCTCACCCTTCACATTAAACATACTACACGCCAACTTAAATAAATGCTTGAAAAATAATTTAAGCATTTTGCCTGGAGTCCACCACCGGTTTTTGCGTGTTCATGAATGCCTATCCATTGGTGAATTAAATTCTGGTTACTTTAATCATTAGCCTTTAAATCATAAAGATTTGAACAAAGAATAGATCAAAAACACTAAACTTACTTTTTATATGAATTCTTTTTTAGATGTGTGTATGTGTTTTTCTTTAAATATATTAGACGCAAACAGAGACATTATGGATAAAAATAATACAATTCTCTCTTAGGTCAAGTGTCCGAAATAGACTTTGAAATAGCGTTTTGAAAATAAAGTTTAAATTTTTCAAGTACTTATGGTTTCTTAGAAACAAAAAAATCAGAGAGGCGTATTTTCACTCAAAATATACTCTTGCTAGAATTGTTTTGTTTTTATGCAAAAAAACTGGTCATCAGCGGCCTACTCAGACACACGTTCAACTTGGTTGACCCAACTGCAATGAGGATGAAAGAAATGGTTTAATTCACCGAATTCACCGAATTTTCGAGGCATCGACATTCACTCGATTACAGTCCTTGCTGCCATGAGAGGGAGTGAAATAGGGAATTGAACAATACCACGAGTGGAAGTGGGACTTAAAACAATGGTGACGTAATAAGGCAGTAAAATTTGACTAACCTACGTATTATGGGATTAAGCAATTCTATTTACCGTTTTTGGCCCATGATCCAATTCATACTCTGGCGCACTTTTCTGAACATTGATGATGGAAAATGATATTTATCCAAAGTTTAAGGTACGCTTTCGACCTCTTTTAGCGTACTCATTTAAATGCCAGCTTAGATAACTCAAAAGCAAAAAAGTCAGCTGATTTGCTGATTATTCATATTAATCGTGATCTAAAATTTGGAGAACGTGCATCTTATTGAAAATTTACAGTCATGGACGGGTGCAAAATGCTACATATTTTCATGGTTAAGTGTTACACAATCAAAAATTACTTTGTGACAGGCCTGGTATGAAGGCGGCTAAATACCAGAGATGCAAAAAATTAATCATACCCGAGATCATACCAGTTAGGGTGAATACGCCATGGTCGGACAAAACGTATTTATTGGGAAATGGGTTTGTATTGCTTCAAATAATTAAAAATCCAATTCTACCAATTCTTCCGCACGCTATGTTCTATAATATTTTCTTTGCCTAAATTGTCACCCTGAAACCATTAAAAATTCGGGAAAGTGACCACATGTTTGTGCTTTCTAATTTTTGCCTGTTGATGGAGGTGAGATAGTTTGTAAGGTAAGTTAAAAATTTTGTTGCGTCCAACATAATTTAATGATTATGGCAAAGTCAAGATAAGTCTATAACACTCGACGGGAAATCGAAAAGCTGCCAGAGTTGGTGTCAGCATCGTAGACCCGACAAATTTTGTATCTAATTTATGAAGTACTTACAACTTTACGTGTATGTAGAATGGTCTAAACTTTTATTTCAAATAACAAAAAAGATTACTTTTTAATATTTTAATGTTAAATTTAGGTGTCCGATAAACTCGTATATAATTTTGTTTTAAGTCCAGTCGTCGGACGAGTGTCCGACTACTTGAAAAATAATTCTTTTGTTTTAGTATTTTTCTTGGTACTTGATATGTAATATCTACTGTCTTTTTCGTTTGAAATATAATGAAACATGAGTTTTTGGTAGTATTTAATGGTCGGACAGCAAAAACTTAACACAAACGCAGATCGAAGGAAATAAAAGTTGTCAGACGACTGGTCAACGCTAAATTTAATATATTTGAGAGGTCGGACAGTAGCACCTTTTCGACGTCATATTGCCTTTGAATTGTGCAAATGAGCTGTTGCTGGATTGTGCTTTGAATGTTGTCTGATTGCATTAAAAATTATCTGGATTGAAAACTGAACCGTTTGTGGATTTGCAATAAAAAACAGATGTTACTAAATACAGTTGAAAAAATTGTATCTAGAAGAAAAATTGAATACGATGAAAACTAATGGAAGCATGGTTTTATGAACCGCGTTGGTATCGTTTAGATATTATTTTTTTATATAGATAACATACGGCAATAAACGGTATATAATGTTCAAGATTAAATTTGCTTTAAAATTATACATATATTAAATATGGGCCTGTGCAGAATCAGCCAATTACAAAATGTCCGCCTTATTGTAACTACCCGGCCGGACACTGGCAAGCACTGTCCGACTACTGACAAAACAGCACTTTTATCACTTAAAAAAATCATTAAAATCATTGGTAGGTTTATGAAAAAAACTATTATATTTATCGTGAAGCCTAATAACCACACTATCTATTTCATAAAAATTAATTTCCATGCAACCAATAAAGAAAATTTAATCAACAATTTAAACTCAGTTTTTCCTTCGGTTTTTCCTAAACTGTCCGACCACTGGCATATTTACCCTACCAGTACCCATAAAATACTATAAAACTTTAAACTATACAAAATTCTAGAATAGTCAAAAACACCATGGTTCTATCAAGAAATCAAAAATAAAAGCGAAGAAAAGAAGAAATCTAAGCTATCGAACACTGCGGACACCAGAAGCATATGTACAATATAAGGCAATTCGCAATGAGACGAGAGCACTACTAAGAAAAATTAAGGCCGACCACTGGGAAGTTTTCTCAAGAAGAATGGAAGGAGACTTTTACGGCCTCCAAAAACAAATCTGGGGATTAATTAGAAATAAAAAGAAGGAGACTAACGAACTAATTGGACTATTTGGACAAAGGATAATTGGATTGACTACTTCACAAGGCTCTACAGCAAAAAGCAAGATGCAATCAAGCAGAATGATACCCCAGAGATAACCACTAACGAAAACATACAAATAGAAAGTGAAGATATAGATATGGCACTCCGACAATTAAAAAACAGAAAAAGTCCTGGACAAGACAACATTCCGAATGAACTACTTAAGAATGGAGGATAATACCTAATCCACAACTAACTAAACTGATTAAACCTATCTTTCTCTACCAGTTGTCGACCAGTCTACCAGTCTTTCTCTACCTATCTTTGTCTACCAGAATATCCGATGAATGGTGAACAAGTACCACTATCCTTATGTTTAAGAAGGGGGATAAAGAAAGGCCAGAAAACTATAGAGGCATAAATCTACTCAGCATAACATTGAAACTAAAAACAAAAATAATAACAAACAAATTAAACAGCATTATATCTCTATCAGATGAGCAACCAGGATTTAGAACGGGTAGACCATGCACTGATGCGGTCTTTGTTATAAGACAGATTGCAGAAAAATCGATTGAGTACAACAGACCAGCTTATATGTATGTGTTTCATAGATCTGCAGAAAGCATTTGATCGGGTTCAGTTGGAAGATGTCCGATTATTTTATGACAGACAAATACCCCATAACTTAATTAAAGTCATAGAAAATATATACAGTGCTAACAAAATCCAGGCTAATATCCACGGGGATCTTACTGAATCAATAATACCTGTAGAGAAAGGCATACGACCAGGCGATTCATTAAGCCCACTTTTTTTAATGTAATCATGGACGAAATAATAAAACAAGTGCGCCATTTAAATGGATGCAAAATGGGAGATCCCAATATTACAATTCTGTGTTATGCCGACGACGCTTTGCTATTCGCAGAAAATGAGGACGACCTCCAAAGACTAGTGTATTGCTTCAATCTAGTAGCAAAATCTTATAACATGATAATCTCTGCATCCAAAATAAAGAGCCTGACAACATAAAAAATACCTATCAGATGCAAGATTGTCGTAGATACCACAATAATACAGCAAGAAATGAAATTTAAATATGTCTGTATAGAGTTATCCGGTTATGGTGATATCGAAACAGAGGTCAGACAACAACCAACAAAAGCAATGAGAGTGGCTGGATATCTGAACGACAACATATGGAAAAATAAATACATAGGTGTCAAGGTCAAGTCAAGAATATACAAGGCTGTCGTCAGACCCATAATGACCTACACAGCAGAAACCAGATCGGCTACAGCAAAAACAAGAAAATCCTTGGAAACAGGCGAGATGAAAATCCTCCGCAAAATCGCAGGTAAAACGCTGCTAGATAGAGAACGAAGCGACAATATAAAGCAAACATGCAAGGTGGGTAGCATTAATGAATGGGTATTGAGCAGAAGACGCGAATGGAATGAACATATAGGCCGAATGGACGAGGGAAGAATAGTAAGGTCAGCTCGAGACAAATCACCACTGGGAAGAAGAAGCACGGGAAGGCCAAGAAAAAGATGGTGTGATATCCTTACCATCGATTCAAACTGTAGGCATGATGTGAAGAATGAACAGGCAATCTGCCTAATATAGAGTAGGAAGAAGAAGAAGAAAATTCTAGAATAAATTAATTCAATATACGCATATTATATCTCTCTGAAAGTGAATTCATTGATAAAGTGAAGAGCGCAACTTTAGTACGGCGAACAGAACACATTGGTAATAATAAATTCCTTTTTATAAACTTGCCTTTGGTCGTTGATCGACGGAGCCACACCCTCAACGCTCGATATTTACAATAAGAATATTTTTAGATGCGGACGTCATATTAAAAGAAATGGATATATAAAGTTTCAAGCGTACAACCGTGACGTAGGCACGTGTATGAGCTTTTTTGTCTTTCTGAATCTACATGCGCTAACCCACGCCACTGGACTGCGAAAGTTGGCAACGGACGGCATTCAGGTGGTCGAAGTCTCGTGGCACAAAGTGCGATTCGAAAACGACGTAAATAACTTGTGTTTAGGAGGAGTTTTACTTTTTATATTGATACGAGATATTTTTACGATCGCCCGTTCTGCCAACTATATAATATTGACAATTTATTCGCTAGTAATACTAAATCAACGATTAAAAGAAATTTGCGGGGAAAAAAGAAAATTAAAATTCCATCAAAAACATAAAATGAAAAGAAATGCCAAGTCTCTCAATACAGTTGTTTCGCTACAAAAAGTTGTAATATCTCATATAAAACAGTTAGTTATTTTAGTTAAGCCTCATTCAGAACCTCGAAATCAGTGGAATAAATTAGTAGTTTCAATTAGTCGTAGAAGTTTGTGCACCTAATTTTAATGTAAGCATTCAGAACGTCATAATTAGTGGTAGTAATTTTCAGTTAGTGGAAGAAGTTAACAAACTTTTGACTTTTCCACTAATTATGCTTCAAAATTTGCGAGGAATGTCATTTTGGCCGTTGATTATCACCCGCCAAGAAATTTTTTTCTTTAAAGTTTATTGTTTTATAAGATAAATATTATGCTTTCTCTATGGATATAACAGACTACCGCAAGCTGTTGCTAGGATATTTTATTAATTTTAATTGTGTTTTTAGACATTGTGAATGATCGTAAACTAAAAAGTATAAAGTGCAATTGAAACCACTAATTTATTCCACTAATTGGGAGGTTCTGAATGAAGCTTTATACTTTTTACTTTACGATCATTCACAATGTCTAAAAAACACAATTAAAATTAATAGGATATCCTAGTAACAGCTTGAGATAGTGAGTTGTATCCATAGAGAATGTCTAATATTTACCTTATTTACCTTATAAAATAAAACACTTTTGATTTATAACAACAATTTCTCTTGACGGATGATACTCAAAGGCTAAAATAATATTCATATGACATATTTTGAAGTATGATTAATGGAAAAGTTAAAAGTTTGATAACCTTTTGTACTAATTGGAAATGTCTACCCCTAATTTTGACGTTGATATTAAAGGAACAAACTTCTACGCTAATTGAAACTATTAATTTATTCCACTAATTGCGAGGTTCTGATTGAAGCTTTAGTGTCTATGAAAGCAACTATTCAATAACTTTGTTATAATACGTGATATAACGTGAAAATTAAATACCTTACAGATACTCCTGTACTAAGCAGAGAATTAATATTTTTTTCTTGTAAATAACGTTCTTATCGTTTGCATTTTATGCCCATGATGTTTGTTTAGGGCTTTTGTTCAAGTCTAAATATTGGTGCCTGCATGTATGCCTATATCACCGCCGCACAGTGTTCAAAATTGATGAAAACTTGATCAAAATTGATTACGTGCAAACTGTAAACCCTATTGCGCCAATTTAAACGACTTTTTCCTTAATTTTTGACAGGTTTTATTGCAAATAGTCTATAGCAGTCATATATCAATTCTAATAGTATAAAAACTAATCATCCCAATCCTCATATTGTTCTCGCCCATCATTATCTTCATTGTCATTATGCTCATCAATTTTGAGTTCATGTTTCTCCTCCTCTGTAAGGTCCAGCAAAGGAAGCATGCTTTGGTCTATTTTCCTATGAACTTTTTTGGAGAAATGAAATGAACTCAGGAGTGGATAACCTAACCGAGCTCAATATAGGTCTTTTGAACAAATCCTCATTAATTTTAGCTGGGCTGATTTTTGTTGTGTGAACATTATAGAATTTTAGTTGCTCTTGTGGGCGTGGTCATAGTTGCCTCTGTTACCAATTTTGAAGCAGAGACGTTTCCCTCTTCACGCAATTTCATGAACGCAGCAAATGATAACTCGGCTGCTGTATTTTGCCGTCGAATTTTTTCAGTATTTCTACGTCCGAACTTTCTACAAATGTTTTTGACGGCCGACCTGCTATAATAATATAAAATGTTAGAATTTATCCCTATAGATAAATAATTATTTTGCATATTTACCTCCACGTGTAGATGCAGAATAACCAGGAACCGTAAGTTGTCGTTGACAATGAAACACTTCATCGGGAAAAATAACATCAACCTGTATAGTGTGTATAGCCAATCTGCATACCTAGACAAGAAATTTCTGTCTTTCCTCCGAGCAGCTTTCCATTTTGTTAAATATTACGGAAAAACGATTGCCTCATGAAGTTATTGAGAGCGTTAGTTGCAATTTCATCTCCGTTTGTTTCAAAATGATCTTTTAAAAAGTCCAAAACATGAATTTTCTTCACAGAGAAATCATGGCCAGGTATTTCCATCATTTTCTCATGTAGATGCAGACGTGTAATTGCCATCATGAATAAATGCCAAAAATAAACCAACACACTTTAAAACAATATATTTCTTGACTTACTACACCGCAAAATAACATAAACTAAACTTGTGACTACACTGAACACCATATAATAAAAAACTAAATACTGGCCGCCCGGTCGCGTGTAAACATGTTTAGAACTCAGCGCAAATGAATCCGAATCACAAAAGCCTGATGCGCACCTTGCGCAGGTAAAACAAAATGTTCCTAAATTCCTTAGACTTATAGGCTTTTATCTAATGTATAATTTATTGATGAGCAAGGACTAGCAATAAACATAAAAGACCAATAAAATGACATTTCTTCAAAAAACTGTAGTGGGTTATAGGCAGCGAATTATGCCTGAGAGGAAAAGCGACCTTCATTGTAGTATTTAGGTTATTTAAATCCTTAAAATATGTACTTTTTTCTGATATAATTACATTTCCATGAAAAATTTGACTTGCAGCGGCTAAAAAAGAAAACATTTTAATGCCAAAATATGCTGTATAAAATTATTATTATTTTTTTAGCTTTTGCTCATAAAGATATTCAGTCATTAAAAGTTGTAAAATGAGGTAAAGAAACATGTACATAAATTTGACGATTCTCAAATAAACTAAAAATTTTCAATTTCGATCGGTTTTTCGCAAAATTTGAACACTGTGCGCCGCCGGCGCCGTCGCGCGCCGGAAAGAGCGATGGCATTGTGATCCGATTCAATTCTCACAATTCTTTTTTACGGCTCATCGCTCAAATCCTATGGATCCGTACTGGCCACGATTCATTGTGATCCGATTCAATTCTTACGATTGTTTTTTACGGCTCGTCGTTCAAATCTTATGGATCCTTGCTGGCCACGATTCAATTGAAAGAACCGTATTGTAAGCAATGAATCAATTCTCACGATTCATTTTTAATACTCGTTCAAATGAACGACTCGTTCAATCTTTGCCCACCTCTAATACAAGGTATTAAACAGATTAGGTATCCTATAAGGATACAGATAAAAATCTTGTCCCTAATTCGTGGTACGAAAATTGTTTTTTATGACGATGAGCAAACGAGTAAATTTTCTTGTGCGCAAAAATAAAGTCCCGTTTAAACAGCATAATAACTGGGCCGGTCACAAGGCCGGTCAGGCGCTCTGCACCTTTTTAGAGGTCATAAGTGGGCGTGCTTGTGCGCAAACTAGTAACCTAACTAGTGCGCGACTCCAAAAATTGGAACCACGAAAAACAATGCTGTTGACGATAAGTTTATAATCTATGATCTGTGGTATTACTTTTAAATATTTTTATATTATTTGGAACGTATGAAAAATGGATTCAATAAAAGCATAGAAATATAAACATTTGTTTTTGTCTACTCTCATCGCTGGCCCACAAAAAGGAGTGGAACTACTTACCGCTTCAAACACATACATTGAAACATTCTATTCCGTACACTAGTACCGAAACTAGAAGCCATAGAGTTAAAAATTCTAGAACCTTTACTTTTATCATTTATCACAGCTCCAACATCGAGTCCAAAATAATCATATCCTAAATCTTGTAGAAGAAAAGAAAATTGGTATAAGAAGAGAAAAAATAATTTGAATTCAAACTTTATATAAGATTTAGCAGAGCCCTTGCAGATTACTTTTAAAATCAAGATACTATTTTTTTGAGTAAAATATAAGATACAGCGTATTTTGGTACCGACTTTTAACATTTTTCTCCATCCTGAGTCAAAACCTAGCTACGGCCATGACAAAATATATGGCTAAGATTAAAATATAAAATAAAGTATCATCATCATTGTTCTGCTCTTCTATGTCCGGGCTCAGACGACTCGTATGCATTTGGCAAACCATTTGTTATTAACATACCCTGGCGTATCCGGCGATAGTGAGTCCGGGCCATCTGTAGCTTTTATAATATATATCATAAACAACATTTTGTATAAGTGCAAACCTAAAGCATGTAACGTATAGTTTTTATTTCAGAAAATTTATTGTTTTTTTAATATATTTTTTAAAAAGGCTGAAAAAATGTTTTTTTTAATGATCAGGAAGGAAGCAAAAATGCAATAATATACAGTGTATTCCATTAAAAAAAATCATCCCGATCCACTGACATTTTTGAGCCACACTGTTGAAGTTAAAATAGTTTCCTAAAATACATCCTAATACATTAGGTTTGCACTTTTTTTAGGTTTTAGCGTTTTTCTTTAGGTTATAGGACACTGCAGATGCCGGACCCTGTAGGCTTCGGTGTAGGCCAATGCTATACACGAGTCGTCTTATAACCCGTGTAACC